AATATATATATATATAGCTAAAAATCCCTATCAAGAAGGCTATATAGCATACTTGCAATTTAGGACTTCTCCAGAACTGGAATATCCTAGATTGCTTAAAAGCACAATGGAGCCTTGATCGAGCCTCTCACGAATGCAAAAAACATCAATTTTCTTGACTTCTCCAGTCGATGCATAATCGATTCCCTCAACTGTCCCTCTTCTCTGCCCACCAAAAAACAAAAGGCAAACAAAAGTGACACCACATAATAAAGCTCCATTTGCAATCTGCAAAATACAGTGAACAACCATTCTAAGTTCTAACCTTAGCAGCCAGGAAATTACCACTGGCAACACTAACACCATCATGCCAACGTTCGTTTTCTCCGTGACGGCGAATGCCACTCAATGAGGGGCCTGGGGACAGCTTCGCCTCTATCATGCTCCGGATCCTTCCGGATGCATCCATTGAAGCAGTAAGGAGTCAGAGTCTGTGATTCTGTAGCTACCAACATACTTAGCTTCGGATCCTGAGATGTAACATATTGGAAAAATGACAAATCACAACCAGCAAAACAGAAAATTCCCAGACTCACATATAGAAACCAGTTTAAAACATGAATTTGAGAAAAATTATACACCTCTTTCTACCAAAAGCCTGTCGATTTGGATATGTGTTCCCGGTACAAGAACAAATTTAACTCCCAACCCATGAAGCAGAGAAATATCCTACAAAACAAGCTACCATCAATTAGATCAACACTATTACAACCACTAATTCATGCTAGAAATGTAAAACAACACAAAAACAAATCAATAAGCAAACATGCCATCGCTAAGGGATCCAAATGAGGACTATCGATAATCTCAGCTGACACTAAGACAACGAAAGTGCTGCCCATGTGAGCCAGAAAATAAGGCCACGCTTCTAGAAAGAGTTGCACGAAGAGCTCATCCTTGACAGAACAACTGCTGGCTTCGATCCCGGCGGCCTCAGTTTCCAAAATGCAGATTTTCTTTCCACGGCGATGGTAAGTCTTGAGAGACGAGAACTTTACGGGTCGGGTGACGCAGAAACTTATTTTCGTTCTCGGAATTGAGTTGGGGGAGAGTATTGTACTGCGCCGCCCGTGGCGGTTCTGAATCGGAGTGCATGGGTTTGGAGAGGCAGCAGCCATTCGGGTCAAGATTCGCCAACAGTAGAGCTTTTCAGAAGAACCCTAGATCAGCGTGAAGTTAACTGATGTCAATTACGGCGGCCGACCGAGACAGTAGCGGCGGAAGAGCGGCCTGTGTAGATTTTTTATGTTCTCGCAGTAGAGGTTTTCTTTTTCAGTGAAAGGTGTGAGCAAATTCAGAATCATCCATGTGCATATAAAGAAATAAACTAGCCATATCTGGATGCTCTTCTGTAGCAATATTTAACATCTGTTTTAACTGAATATATAACTAAAAACAAACTGGCTACATCTTCAATGCAGTTTTAATATTTACATCTTTAAAACTCAGTAAAAACCAGAGATTTTACATTCAAACTAAGCACCAAGATAGCATCTGAATGTTTGAGATGTGTGACCTTATTGTCATTTGTAATCAAGAAAAGCAAGCAAGCTTCTTTATCTTAACTGTTGAACAATTTCTTTATTATAGTTGTTTTAGTTCACATAATACTGTAAACACTATGCAAATTAATGCTCCAGGAAAAGAAAAAAATTAAAACAAAAATCTAAGATCATAAAATTTCACAAGTCATAGGCTTTCACAACATGTTCATTTTGAAATCCCCCACCAATAGCTATCAACTCATCACATTCATGTTTATTTACCAACACATCAAGATAACAGTAAAGGTTTAGAAAAAAAATGTAAATAAAATGCTCTCCCAAAAAAAAAAAAATTAATAAATCAGCTAGAATTGCCAAAAAAAATCTGATGTTTTTTCCTTATTTTAATCAACTACATCATCAATTTGAACATCCAAAAACAAACACCACTCAAAGGCAAAGTATGAAGGGACTCCTAAAAAAGGCAACAAAAAAAACCCTAATTCAGAAAAAAAAAAAAAAAAA